GCTTTCGTACAAGGACGGCAGCGATGTTGTGATCGTCTCGGGAGACGAGCAGAGTCACCACAAAGCGCAAGTAGGCAAGACAGTCCAACCAGAGACACTCTGGTCCTTCATGGATGCGTTGCAGCGCGACCTGCGATCCTCGATCGACCTGTCCACGTCGGAAGGCTTGCTTGATGACGATCAGCAGGGCACGATCTTCCAGACCGGCTTCTGTGGTTACTGGGGCTACGAGATGAAGAACGAGAGTCTGCAGCTCGGCACGCGGGCTCCGGTCGGTAGCAAGGCGGACGACTTTGATGCTGAGTTCCTCTACTGCCCAAGGGTGCTTGCGTTCGACCACCATCTGCGCCAGTGGATCGCGTTCGCCCTGGTCGAAAGCGCACAGCCGCCCTCGCCTCGAACAGGACCGTTCGGGGAAGTGTCCGGCGCGCTCGAGTCTCTGCAAGCAGACGGCCGATCATGGGCCAGGTGGGGTCTAGAGAGCAGGAAGGCCGAATCATGGCTCGAAGAAGTGCTGAATGGCGTCTTGCAGGCGAGTCAAGGCTCAGCGATGGCGAAAGCAGCCCCAGATGGCTCGGCGTTCCGCGAGGCGATGCCGCCACTGCGACCACGCATGCTGGCGGAAGACTACATGGACCAGATCGAGTCGGCGCGCGAGCTGATCGCCGCAGGCGAGAGCTACGAGCTGTGCATGACGAATCAGTTCCAAGGACGACTCGCCCCGCTCTCGTCGCTTCCCGAGACCGCCGACACGGACCATTTTGACCTGTACTGCAAGCTGCGCGCGCGCAACCCCGCGCCATACTCTGCGTTCCTCCGACTGCCTTCATTCTGCAGGCAGCCTGGGGGACGTCAACGCGGGCGCGCGATTCTCAGCACGAGCCCAGAACGCTTCATGCGCGTCACTGCCGATGGGTTGGTGGAGATGAAGCCGATCAAGGGGACGCTTGCTCGTGCGGGCTATGCGCCGGGCGAGCTCGATATGCGCGCGGGTTACGGTGACGCGCATCAGGAACTGGTCAAACGCAAGTGGCGCGAGGCACAGGACGAGGCGCGCCGCGCAAAGCTCTCGGCAGACGTCAAGGAGCGTGCCGAGAACCTGATGATCGTCGACTTGATCCGCGCGGACCTCTTTTCGTTCTGCCACTCGGACAGCGTCGCCGTGCCAAAGCTGATGCAGGTCGAGTCGTACGAGACTGTGCACCAGCTCGTGACGACGGTGACGGGGAAGCTCAAGGCGTCCGTTGGAACCACCGAGGCGGTGCGGAGGTGTTTCCCGCCAGGAAGCATGACGGGGGCACCCAAGCGTCGCAGTGTACAGCTGCTCGAGCGACTTGAATTGAACCTC